GAGGGCGGCAGCTTGGAGGAGTGGAGGGAGGTGCTGTGGTTGGGATGTATTGTATGAGAGAGGAATCTATTTTCAATTAAAAAAAAAATGTTTCACAGAACGGGAACCCTCTGATTCCCGTGCCTTTTCTTGAAGTCTGTTCCTTCTGTGTGTTTGTCCTGTCCAACTCTAATGTGTGTTTTTGTTTTATTTCATTATATTTTATTATTACTATCCCTTAGAAGCCTGCTTAGCTTAGTCTCTCTCTCTCTCTCTTTCTTCTTCTTCCTTCTCCTCCTCCTCCTCCTCTTCTTCTTCTTTTTTTCTGAGACAGGTTTCTCTGTATACCTGTCCTGGCTGTCCTGGAACTCGCTTTGTAGACTTTGAACTCACAGACACCTATCTGCCTCTGACTCCTCTGAGTGCTGGGATTAAAGGCGTGCACCACCACCGCCACCCAAGCCTGTTTATGTTCTTATGAGAGACCAAAAGGGAGACACTGGGAGCAGAGCGAGGGGAAACTGTAAACAGGATATATTTTCGTGAGGAAAAAAGGTGTTTTCGATAATAAAAATTACTGCCATCATGTTCCTGAAATACAAACTGTGATTTGTTTGTAAAATAAAATAGTCCTTAGCGGGAAAGAGCCAGCCAAAAAAACACACTTTGTCCCTGAATTCAGAGCCAGTGAAAGAAATATGCCCTGGCCCTAAAGTTAGAGCCAAAAGGCTGAAAAGGACGAGAAAGAAACATACTTTGGCCCTGAAATCAGAGCCCAATCTAACCTTGACCCTGAGCAGAAAAACCAACCAATCCCTGAGCTAGCTAGCCAATCTGAGCTCAGCGATTGAAACCGGACCAATCCTCACCCTGCAAATCTCCCTGGAAACCTGCACCCCGTAGGAGCCCCATATAAAGCCTGTGCCTGCTCAGCTTGTGGCTGCATGGAGTCTTCCCTCCCAGTAAATATTTTGAACGAGGTTTGCCAGAGTGGAGCAGAGAGAATTAACTTTTCAACAACGTTCACCTGGGAGACCTTCCCCTAGCGAACACTCTGCAGGATGCCCGAAGCAGGCAGGGCTGCAGCCAAACTGTAATAACTTCCCGCTGGGGGAGCCCTCCCCTGCCTGAGCAGAGCTGTTATCCTGGGGAAATCCTTCCCTGAAGCAGGGCTGTGGCTCCCGAGTGCCAGAATCCCTTTCCATCCGAGCTGTAACACTCAGTATTTGGCTCCCGAATGCTGGAATACCTTTCCTTGCTTACAACGTCAGACTCTATCCGGCTTTGTCCGGAGAGCTGGGCAGAGAGGCCAGGAACAATGGGTCTTTATAATAAACAGGGGAGGAAGCTGTGTGTGTGTGTGTGTGTGTGTGTGTGTGTGTCCTTACACACAGTCAGTGAATCTGCGTTTCCCCCTGGAAAATGAGACTCAGTTGTGACTAGGCCCCACTCAGCAGTGTTGACTTTACTTACTCCCTGTATACACAAACACATACACACAGACCTACAAGTGTCACTTGGAGTCTGCCCTGGAACTCACTCTGTAGACCAGGCTGGCCTCGAACTCACAGAGATCCACCTGCCTCTGCCTCCCGAGTGCTGGGATTAAAGGTGTGGCACCACCGGCTTTCAGTGGTCTTTCTAACAAACACCTTACCTTGGGAAGCTGGGCCTTCCTAGACCCGCAACAGAAAGAGAGGCCTCTTCTCTGCTTGGGACTGAGTATTGGCGCAATATGCGCGTTTTCCAAAGTGAAACATGCCCTTTTCTTCCTCCATTTGGGGCTTCAGTCTCTGTTAGCTCATCGCTTTCAGCTCGAGCCAGGTTCCCCACCACCACCTTAACTTAGCAGAACTGCTCCGGAAAATGTAAGCCCAGAGATGGCGGCTGCAGAGAAATGGGACCTTCTCCCAGACCCCATCCCTGCCCAGTTAGTACTTTGGCAGTTTGGAAAGGAGGAAGTTGGAGAGCATGGGTTAAGGGAACCTGGTCAGAGCCTGGCCCAAGGTGAAGCTGACCCGGTACTGATGCTGGCCTTGAGGTCTGCAGTAATAATAATTCTACCAGAGAATTATCCCAAAAGAATGCTATTACTTTGGGCCAGTAAGATGGCTCAACAAGTAAACAATTCTCATGACTTGGGTTCGACTCCAGGGACTAGAAATAAATGTAAAAACAAAACAAAACTTTTTTGAAAGAGAATACAAATTAGTCAGAATATATTGCCGGGATGTTCTATGATTACCCACCTTCCCCCACATTTCTTTTGGGTCCCTTAAAGCCATCTCTTGTGCTTCTGGGTGGCTGTGTGTACCTGAGTGCAGGCACCCTGGGAGGTCAGAGCTGTTGGATTTCACAGAGCTGGGGTTTCAGGAAGCTGTGAACCCCTGGATGCTGAGGATGGAAGGCGGGTCCTTTTTGAGAGTAGGAATTGCTTTTAACCAATGGCTGTCTCTCCACCCCCACTTTTATTTTTAATATTAATTTTTATCATTGATGTATTAAAGTTAAGTGTGTGGGTTTGTGAAAGTGAATGCAGGTGCCTGCCTAAGGAGGCCAGAGGCATCAGAACCCCTAGTGCTAGAGTTACCAGTGGTCACCAGTCCAACAGCGTGGGTGCTGGAAACGGGACTCTCATCCTCTGGAAGAGCAAAGCTTGTTCTGAACCGCCAAGCCACCTCTCACCCCAAGAACAACCAATCAGAGGAGACATTGCAGAGTTAATGTCAGCATAATTCTTCAAATATTACAACGTCTTTTAGTGAGATTTGGGGATACAGTTGTAGGGTAGTCTCGGGGCGTTGAGAGGGCTTTCATTGGGGTAGGGGTGGGGATGGAGGCAGACTGAACTGGGAAAGAATGAGGGGTGAGGTGTGTCTGTCTCTATGACTGAAGGCTGGCTTCTTCCCTGGAAATATCCCTGTCCAGTATGTGCAGATCTGTAACAGGAGAGCAACAGCAGATGGGTTAGTTCTTGAAAGGCTCTAGCAGGCCTGAGCATGGCAAACACGGCACCCACAGGTTTTACCGTTTACCCTCCATCCCATCCTTGCTAAAAAAAAAAAAAAACTGTTAGACTGCACTCCTAAAGCTCGCCACCAAGGTCCAGTCCCAGACTTGGCCACTTCCTCCTCCTGAGGCTCACTACCAAGGTCCAGCTATCAACTTACTGAAGTCCAGCAATCAGAAGCCCCCTTTGGCTCACCTAATAACATGCCCAGTTAAAATTAAACACCTCATCCTAACATGGGGTCCCCCTTTACCTTTAGAATCTGCCATTTGCCCGGTGCCACCTCTGCCTCCTCTCTCTTCCCTAACCTCTTATTCCCTAACCCCTGTCCCTCTGGAACAAATAAATCCCCTCTTCATTGAGAACTTACTCTCGGGGTGTCCTGTGTGGATTAAGGGCCTTTCGATTTTTAATTTTTAAATTTTATTTATTAGCATGTATATTCAGTGTGGTGTGGGGGGGGTACAAGCATTTGCCATGTCACGTGTGTGCAGGTTAGGGGACAATTTGTGGGGTCAGTCTTTCCCTGGGTATCAAAAATCAAACCCCAGGTGGGTTTTGAGTAGCTCCACTAATGAGGCAGAGATCCTGCATGCCTTAGAAATCCATTTACTCTTATTCCCATGTAGGAGAGGCCACGTGGGCCATGGCTGTACTGGCTCTTAGTAATTTAAATTTATTTTATTATTTTGTGTGAACTTGTGTTTTGCCCAGATACATGTTAGCGTACCACATGTGTGTCTAGTGCCCACAGAGGCCAGGAAAGGGTGTTGATTCCCTGAGACTGGAATTGCAGACAGCTGTGAGCCACTGTGTGGATGTTGGGGATGGAAATCTGGCACTTCTTCAAGACCAGCAAAGCGCTTTTAGCGGCTGAGCTGCCTCTCCTCTTCCTACCTTAGTTTTTGAGTCTGTGTCTCTCACAGAACCGGAGCTTACCAGTAAGCAAGAGTAGGTAGCCTGGGAGCCCCACCTGCATGTAGGTGCTGGAGAACTAAACTCAAGTGCCCTTGCTTGCATAGCAAGCCCTTTAGCAATGGAGCCATTTCCTCAGCTATGGACTCGTGACGTTAGGGGTGAGGCTAGGGAGGAAAGCCTCTTTAGTTGTCTCAGCCTCGGTGGCTTTCCACTTCTGGTTTTCCTTCCTCGTTCTGCCTACTATTTGTCCACAGCTACACACATTCTCCCCACAGACTTTCAAGAGGGTTCATAGACATGTCAATGATAAGTACCTTCTAGGACCAAAGAATGTAGCCAGGCGGTGGTGGCACATGCCTTTCATCCCAGAACTTGGGAGGCAGAGGCAGGTGGATCTCTGAGTTTGAGGCCAGCCTGGTCTACAGAGTGAGTTCCAGGACAGCCAGGGCTACACAGAGGAACCCTGTCTAGAAAAACCAACCAACCAAAACAAGAGCCAAAGAGTACAGTCAAGGTTGAGGGGTTGTGTCATCATCAGGATGATAGTGCGACACATACTCTTCTATTGCGTGTGTGCACGCACACCCACACGCACATGTGTGTGGAGAACAGTGGATGTTGTCTCTATCCATCTCTGTCTTACCAGAGACCAAGTCTCTCACTAAATTTGGAGCAAGGCCAGCAATCAGCAAGTGTTGGCGTTTCTCTGTCTCCACCCACCCCCCCTCCAGCACAGGGCTGGGTTCTAGGCTCGCTCACACATGACTTTTTATATGGGTCCTGGGATTTGAACTCAAGTCGTCACGCCAAGGCTACCCTGTCTCGAAAAAAAAACAACAACAACAAATAAACTAAACAAATTAATAACACTTTTAAAAATTAATATGAGTAATTTTTTTTAAAAAAAAAAATGATGGTCAGGGGAAAAAAACCTACAGAGAAGTGGCACTCAACTCATTATTTTTTTTCCTGAGACATAGTTTCTCTATATAATAGTCCTGGTGTCCTGGCACTCGCTCTGTAGCCCAGGCCGGCCTTGAACTCACAGAGATCCGTCTGCCTCTGCCTCCCGAGTGCATCACCACTGCCCAGCTCAACTGGTTCCTAAAGGACTTTGAGGAGTCTGGCCATGCAAGGCTGTAGGAACAGAGAAGGGTATCAGGCTCTGGTCTAGGTGCTTATCTGGAAAAGTGCTCAGCTGTACGATTTGGGGACTGGCTTGGATATTAGAGTTGGTCCCTGAGGCCAAGTCTGAGAGACAGGGCGGGGTATGAAGCGAGAGGGGAGAGGCGGGGTGTGTGAAGGGAGATGGGCTTGCAGAAGGGTGCTCCTTCCCCTACTCTCATGCCCGCCTTCCACATTCCCGTCTTTACCTCCAATCCTAGGTTTGACAAACGTTTCTACCAGCGATCTCTTGGTCATCCTTGGAGAGCGAGAATAAGGGAGTCCATCTAGGAAAAGGGACAAGGCATCGTCACGGACTAAAATGCCAAAGGGGGCTGGCTTCCTGATGGAGAGAACCACAGGTGATAACGGGGAGGCAGCTCAGGTTAAGTCCTGCGCTGCACTCACTGGCCCCTCCCAGTCAGCTTCCAAGACTCTCGCTTGAGAAAACTGTAGTTCCCCTGTGTGCCAGATCGTTAAGGGCTTTGGAAGCGAGCGTGTGCTACTGTGCATGCTCATGAGCGATTGCGGGGGGGGGCGGGGGGGGGGGCACCAAGGCCAACAGCAGGCTTTCAGCCCGTCCTTCTCTGCTTTAATTTCAGAGACATGATTGCCCACTGAGCCTGGAGCTCACCCATTTGGCTAGCGGAGCTGGCCATCTATTTCCCCAGCACAGGGATTACAGACTCGTACCGCTTGCCCAACTTTTTGTTTTTTTTTTGTGTGTGTGATGAGTGTGTGTGTGTGTAGCGACTGTGTGTGTATGTGTGCTGAGTGTGTGTATTATGTATTACGTGTGTGTATGTTTGATGAGTGTATATGTATGTGTGTGTATGTGTAGTGTGTATGGTGTGTGTATGTATGTGATGAGTGTGTTATATGTGTGTATGTGGGGGGTATTGTGGTGTGTATACATGTGTAGTGAGTGTGTATGTATGTATGTGTATGCATGGGTATGTGTGATAAGTGTGTATGTGTGTGTGCATGTGTGTGTGATAAGTGTGTGTGTGTGCATGTGTGTGATAAGTGTGTGTGTGTGCATGCACGCATGGGTATGTGTGATAAGCGTGTGTGTATGTGTGCATGCATGGAATATGTGTGATAAGCATGTGTGTGCGCGCGCACACGTTTGGCACAGCTATGCAGATAAGAAGACAACCTATGGGAGTCAGTTTTCTCCTTTCATCTTGTAGGTCCTGGAGATTGCTAGTGCCTTTACCCACTGAGCTATCTTGCTGGTCCTACTTTTTTAGGGGAGGGCAGTGTTGGGAAGGGGTATCATGTGACCAAGATTGACTTAGAAATAACTATGTAGCTGTGGGTAACTTCAACTCCTGATGCTTCTGCCTCCACATCCCAAGTACGAGATAACACCCAAATGAGGTCGTGGCTATGATTTTACCTGTGGAGAAACTGAAAGCCTGACAGAGTTACACTATTTTCCCACGTTCTTTCTTCTACCTAGGAAGAGGCAGTGAGGAGTGGAGCCCACATCCGCCAGTTCCGAAAGCCAACAGCGAGCATGTGCAGGAGGGTGCTTGAGAAGGAGGGGCCGCTACTCACCAATAGCCTTCCACAGGTCTAGGATCTCGAGAGCTGAGTCCCTCTTCCTGCCTTGTTCTGCCTTTGAGGGAAGGCGGAGGACTGGGGAAGGGATGGGAGACAGCAGAGGAGCTGGTTAATAGAATGAGGCCACACAGGATCCACCAAAGCCCTCCGGGCGTTTGGCAGAATAACTCCAAGCAAAACCTCGGGATAGGATGCCCATTGACCATCCCTAACTCAACGGCTTAGAGGGGGGCTCTAACCCTCCTGTGTCTGGGAACAAATCTCACATTTTCAGCTCTTCCTGTCATGTTGTCAAGACAACCTGGGGTTTTCTTACTCTCTGTTACATTTATTTATTTGTTAGTTGTGTGTGTGACACAGAGAGAGAGAGAGACAGACAGAGAAACAGAGAGAGAGGAAGCAGTTCACATGCCATGGCACTTGTATGAAGGTCAAAGGACAACTTATGGGAGTCAGTTTGCTCCTTCTGGGGACCGAACACTGGTCCTTAGGCTTGCCAACAAGCACCCTTACCCATCTAGCCAACTTGCCAGCCTCTGACTTGAGTATTCATAGACCTCTGAGAAACAAAGTTCTTCACTTCATAATAAAAGTACTGAAGACGTAGGAAACGTGAAGCAGTTTAGTTTACGGTCTTGCGAATGGCAGAGAACACTTCATAAACCCTAGCATGTGACCTCCATCTCCCTCCTTTATATTTTGGGACAAATCCTCACTATGTAGTTCTGGCTGGCTTGGAACTCACTATGTAGACTAAGCTGGTCTTGAACCCAGCTGCCTGTGCCTCCTGACTGCTGGGATATAAAGGTGTATTCCACCACACTCAACCCGCTTTTATTTCTAAAAAGCTGAGCCTATTGTCGGGCATGGGGTGCGGCGGATTTGGCGGGAACTGGGCTTGGTTTGTGTGGCTAACTACACATGCTCCTAAGAAGAGTCACTCCTGGAAGTGGAGAGTCAGGGATGGAAGTAAATTGGGGAGAGAGGCTGGTACCCACCGTGCGGCAGTATGTGATTATATGAATAGGCCACTTGACCCCTGGTTCCCTCCTTCTACCACGTGGATACTGGGAACTCAGGTCATCAAGATCGGAGACAAATACCCTTGTCCAGTGAGCCATCTGGTCAACCCTTTCCCCTCCCAGTTATGTAGGTTTTTAGGATCAAACTCAGGCCATCAGGTTTACACCATTAGGCTGCAAGTGCCTTTCTTTACCCACTGAGCCATCCTGCCAATCCCAGTTTCCCTTCCCTCCTCTCCTCCTGCTCCGCTCACCCTCCATCTCCTACCTGCTCCTCCGAGAGGGTAAGACCTTTCCTAGGAAGTCTGCTAAGTCTGTCTCATCATCTCCTTGAGGCAGGACCAAGACAGCTCTCCACCCCCTACACACACTCCTGTGTCTAGGCTGGGCCAGGTGTCTCTCGGCATAGAATGGGCTCCACTAAGTCAGTTTGTGCATTAGAGTTAGATCTCGGACCCACTGCCAGTGGCCTCATGTATTGTCCCAGTCACACCATTGTCACCTACATTAACGGAGTCTACAGTTTAGTTTTATGCAGGTTCTCCATTTGTCAGACCAGAGTCAGTGATCTCTCACTAGCTCGGGTCAGCTGATTCTGTGGGTTTCCCCATCATGGTCTTGACTCCTTTGTTCACATTATCTCTCCTCCCTCACTTCGATCGCACTCCAGGAGCTTGGCCCAGTGGTTAGTTGTGCATCTGCTTCCATCTGTTTCTGAAAGAGGGTTCTAGCTTCTCTGGGGTTGTGGATTGTAGGCTGGGTAGGACCTCTTATTTTATATTATTACTATTATTATTATTATTATTTAGACAGAGTCTCAGGTAGCCCAGGATGGCCTCGGGTTCCCTAAGTAGCTCATTATGACCCTGAATTCCTGATCCACCTGCCTCTATGACTTAAGTGCTAAGATTACAGGTGTGTGATCCCACACCCAATTTTATGCAGTCCTGGCATCAAACCCAAGGTTTACAGTGTGCTAGGTAGGAGCTCTACCAACTGAGCTACATAGACAACTTACTTAAACCTCACAAACCTCTCACGAATGTGGGGACCACTATTGTTCTCTCTGTTCTCAGAGCCAGAAATGGAGACACAGGGAGACTGAGCCTGAACACCATGACGGGCTCTGCACACAGACCTCTGCCTGGGCTGACCCTGCAGGCTCCTCTAGATACAGATGTAATGGTTTGAATCTGAACCATCCACTATGGGCTCAGGTTTTAAACACTTGTTCATTCTCCTACAATTTCTGTAAGTTGTGGAACCTTTAGAAGGTGGAGTCTAACTGAAGGATATGGGTCACTAGGGGCGGGTCTTTGAAGGGTGTAGTAGTCTTGGCTACATAAAGATCCCTGGGTTCTTCCACACCCACCTCCGTGATGCATGCCAGCCGGCCAAGCCTTGCCTACCATGATGGACCGAACTCCTCTGAAACCATGAGCCACAATGGATCTTTCCACCCTTAACTATTCTGGCAACTGTGATGTAAAAGCAACCAATCCAGCATCTTTGCTGGGTCACAAAGCCATCGGCATTGGGTAGGCACGAATTAGGGATGAAGCATGGAGGAAAAGAACTTACCAGGACCCAGGAGGTAACCAGCACTATTGAGGGTCCAGCCTCCTCGTCCCTGGAAGAGATGAAGAAATGAGGACTAAGAGAGGAAAGTGGCAAGATCCCCGAAGTCTACGGTGATGTAGATCGCCATACCGCCTTGATACTAGCCAGTGACATATTTTGCTTAGTCCCTCTTTCAGCCCTGTGCAATTAGACTTCCTATAACCTAGCAAGTGGAGGGCCCGGGCAAGACGACTCAATGGGTAAAGGTGCTTTGGTGCCAAGTCTGACCTGAGTTCAACCCCCAGGACTTACCTTGTGGGAGGAAAGATCTTACTCCTGCAGGTTATCTTATGACCTCCACACTCTCACTGTCAAAGCACGACACACACACACACACACACACACACACACACACACGATGACAGACAGACAGACTGTGAGAAATATGATGTCTAAAACATGACAGCTTGGGCTGGGCGATGAATGAATTCCAATAGCAACTGGACAGTGTGGTACTTGGAGTTAACAAGGAATGTGGTATTATAAACTGTATAAGTATGTTGATAGCCAGGCCTGGTGGTGCGGCTTTTTGGCAGGTTTGACAAAAAGAGAATTCTAAGTTTCAAGGACTTCCTGGGCTACTGAGTGAGTTCAAAACCAGCCCGCACAACTTGGTGAAATGCTGCCTCAAAATAAAAACTGAAACAAATAAATCACAATGGAGGTTGTAGCTCAGTTGGTACAGCGTCCGCCTAGCAAACGTGTATCCCTGGGCTCTCTCCCCAGCATTGAATGAAATGTGTGATCTCAACTCTGAGGAGGTAGAGGCGTTGGAGGACATCCTCAGAATCCGGTTAATCCCAACTCAGGAGGCAGAGGCAGGCAGGCAGGCGCATCTCTGATGGGGAATGTCCTTCTGTATATATGTTTCTCTCATTGGCTGACGAATCAAACACTGATTGGTCAGTAGCCAGGCAGGGCGTATAGGCGGGGCTAGGAGATGAGGAGGATTCTGGGTAGAGGAGGCAGAGAGGGCCACCAGAGCAGACACCCTGTAGCTGCCGAGGTAGCAACATTCTCTGTGGAAATACTTATATTAATAGAGATGGGTTAATAATTAAGAGAGAGCTAGCCAATAAGAAGCCTAAGCCATCGGCCAAACAGTTTGATAATTAATGCAAGTTTCTGCGTGCTTATTTGGTGGTAAATGGCTGTGGAACCAGGCAGAACAGAAACTGTGTCTACAAATCTCTCTGAATGCAGGGCCAGCCAGGGCTACACAGCGGAACCCTGTCTCAACAAAAAACAAAAAGAGGCTATCCTCAGCTATTTAGTCTGAGGCCTGCCTATCTACATGGGACCCTATCTCAGTGGTCCTCAACCTTCCTAATGTTGGGACCATTTAACGCAGCTCCTCGTGTTTTGGAGACCCCCCCCAACCGTAAGATTATTTTTGTTGCTACTTCATAACTGTAATTCTGCTACTGGGATGAATCATAATGTGAATATGTGATGTTCGGGATATCTGATGTGTGGGGGGTGGAGACCCCTCGGCTGAGAACCACTGCCCTATGGGGGGGGGAAGAAAGGGAGGGAGGGAGGGAGTGAGGGAGGGAAGGGACAATGTCTTGCCAAGGTGAAAGTCAGCTGCTGTGAAAGTCAGCCGGGCTTCCAATCTCAAGGAGCCAGATACTGATCGTTTTTTCTTTCTTTTCTTTTTTGTCCTTTTTAGCATTTAAAAAAAAAAAAAAAAAAGACTTTTTTTTTTTTTACTTATAAGCCACCTGATGTGGGTGCTGAGAGCTGAACTCTGGTCCCTTTGGGGAAGCAATATTATTTTTCACCTCTGAGTAATCTCTCTAGCTCCCCCTTTTAGTAACTTTTTATTAACAGATACACATTGCAGTGTTTGTGGTGTATAGTACAATATGCATTGGCAAATGAAATTTGTGGGACAGCTTTATTGATAAACACGTGACCCCCACGCACATCATGTGAGTGACTATGTGTAGTGAAGAGATTTATTGCTGTTACTTTTGTCTTCAATTATTTGAGAAAGGGTCTCGTGTAGCCTGGTCTGGCCTTGAATCTGCTACACTTGATCTTAGCCAAAAGGCTGACAAGGGGTTCGAACATCCCATGCAGTCCAGGGTGACCTTGAACTTCTCATCTTCCTGTGTCTGTCACCACACCGGGCTCTGTGAGCATTTTAAGTTTACTTAAAAACCTAGTGGTTTTCTTTTTTTGTTTGTTTAAAATTTTTTATTCATTTTACACACCAGCCACAGTTCCCCCTCCCTCTCCTCCTCCTGTTCCCCCTCCCCCAGTAATTTTCAAGCTTAGAATGCATTGCCTTTAGCTGCAGTCGCCGGTGTTGAACTTACTGGGCTGAATTCAGATTCTGTCTTTGGGTCATATCACTTGGTTCTAGCTAAGCTGCCCAAGTAAGTAAGTGAGACCCTGTCCTGCTTACTCAGGGCAGCTCCGCCCATTAACTTCACACTGAGCTATAACTTGACAAAGAGCTTTGGAGGGGTGACCTAGGGATGTCTGTCTGTCAGTCTGTGGCATGCCCCAGCGCTGTGTACAACTGGGTGTGGCAGCAGACGCTTGTAGGCCCAGCACTTCAGAGGTAAAATCAGGAGGTTCAGAATTGGAAGGTCATTTTTGGCTACGTGGGAATTGTAGGGCAGCCTAGAATAGAGAGGTGTGTGCTGTTTTGAGACAGGGGCTATCTATGCAGCCCTGGCTGTCCTGGAACTTTCTATGTAGACCAGACTGGCCTGGACCTCGGAGACACCATCTCGCCTCTGCCTCCAGACTGTCAGCTCAGCCAGTCTAGCTAGCCAGCTCGCCCTGCCGACTCTCTGCTTTGCCCCCTCAGCACTATGATAGGTGTGGCCCCAGGCCCAAATGGCACTTAGGAGGGCACTAAGGCACTCAACCTCCAGTCTCCACATTTGGCCCTTACACACTGAGCAACCCCTGCCTGTTTTGTTTGTTTTTGTTTTTCCAAGACACGGTTTCTCTGTGTAAGAGCCCTGGCTGTCCTGAAACTAGCTCTCAAACTCATAGAAATCCACCTGCCTCTGCCGGGCCCCCTAAGCATTTTTAAAAGATAGTGTCTCACTATGTAACCCCTAAATGGCCTGAAACTCTCTAAATACACCAGGCTTATCTCATACTCACTGAGACTGGCCTGTCCTTGCCTCCTGTGTGCTGGGATTAACGGAAAGGGTTACAATGTCTGATGTATGCTTGGGCTTTTGTTTTTGATACAAGGACCTGCTTTAGAGGCTCGGCTGAACTTAATCTAGCGGAAATCTTATCTCAGCCTCTTGAGAGCTGGGATTTCAGGCATAGATCATCCACTATGCTGGCTATTTTTCTTTTCCCCTTTTGTTGTTAGCATGGGGTGGGGAGCATGTGCCCGCCACAGCACGCTTGAGAAGTCAGAGCCCGCTTCCAGAAGTTCTCTGCTTCTGATCAAACGCTTTTACCCGCTGAGCTATCCAGGTAGCCCCAGGTTTACACAGGAAGCACTGTTACCCACTGAGCTATCTATCTAGGTAGCCCTCTCTTTTCACTTTTTCTTCAGGCAGGGCCTCGTGTTGCCCAGGCTAGCTTCAATATTACTAGCTCAAGTTAATCTCCAATTCCTGCTCATCCTCCTCCTGCCTCCTGAGTGCTGGGATTAGAGGCATACAGCACCAGGCCCTGCAGGGATGGACCGAGAACTTTATGCAGACAAGCACCCCACCAACTGAGCTACATCCATCACCCTTTTTTCCTTTTCCATTTGTTTACTTTATTTGGGGGATGGAGGGATTCGAGACAGGGTTTCTCTGTGTAACAGTTCTGACTGTCCTGGAACTCGCTTCGTAAACCAGGCTGGCCCCGAACCCACAGAGACGTACCTGCCTCTGCCTCCCAAGTGTGGGGACTAAAGGCGTGCGCCACCAGCGCCCGGATATTTATTTATTTTTAATTAGGATCTCACTGTGCTGTCCACTGGCCTTGAATTCACAACCCGTCTGCCTCAGCTTCCAGAGAGCTGGGATGGCTGGCAGGTGCCACCGCACTGGGCAGAGTAAACTGAGTCCCAAATATCTACTTTCTCGTGACTTCTACGCCACTCCCAGGGCCAAGCTGACCAGGTCACCTTCTCGGTTTCAGCCCCTCTACACGTCCCCCTGGATCAAACCAGCAAAAGAAAAACGTGTAAAACTCCCCCCACCCAGGGGAGCAGCAGGGGGAAGGTGTTACCCTGTAAACAGGTGCAGACTCTTGAGTTCCTGCCAGACTCAGCAAGATGGCGACAAGGAGGACCAGATGCACCGAGCAGGCCATCCTGAAGCTGGAAGAACACAGCGCTCAGCGGAAAAAGCTGCAAGGACAGAGCGAGCATTGTTCTTGACGGTCCCATCCCTTTACTCCCCACATTTGGGAGGCAGACTCTCTGAGAGTCCAAGGCTAGTCTCGACTACAGAGTGAGTTCCAGGACAGCCAGGGTTACACAGAAACAGACATCCTGTCTAGAAACGCACCCCCCACACACACACCAAAAGTTATTCTCCATAGCACGTTTGTGTGCAGCTCTGACGTGGTGGAGAGAAATGTACTGAATGGAATTGATCTACTCAGCCTCCCAGGGAAAAAAAAGTACACATAGGGTCTACAGGTGAGTGAGTTTGACCATATGCGTGCAGCATGACATCAGCGCTATGACCAACGGTAGGTAGGTAATGTCTTTTTATTTTAAGTATATCACAGAAAAATAAAATAAACATTCTGATCTGTTTATTTTGGAATCTCTCCTCTTTCTGTGTGGTTGGGGTGTGTGTGTCGGGGGTGTGTGTATTTGTGTGTGGGGGTGGGTGTGGGAGTTGATAAATGGAAATTGAACTTAGGGCTCCTCATTGGCAAGAAGCAAGCCACACCCCCGGCCCCTCACCAGAGGATTCTGGGCAAGGACTCTACCACTGAGCCACCCCCCCAGCCCCTCACTGGGGGATTCTGGGCAGGGGCTCTATCATAGAACTATCTACATCCCTGGTATTTTTAATTTGTTTTATTTGGAGACAGAATCTCACGAGTTTTCTCAAGGTAACTTTGAATTCATTCTGGCTTGAAATTTTTGATCCACCTGCCTCTGCCTCCTGAGTGCTGGGATTAAAGGTGTGCGCCACCACCGCCAGAAAGGATGCTCACCTTTTAAACTCAGGCTTGCTTCAAACTCTGATCCTCCTGCCTCCACTCTGGAGTGTGGGAATTAGAGGTACATACCACACCTGGTTTAAGGGTTTCGTTTAAGCTTCATTTTGAAATGTGTGCTTAAATAAAACAAGGCGCATGCCCAGAATCCTAGCCCTCCAGAGGTGCAGGCTGGAGGGTCAAGAATGCAAGGCCATCCTTGGGTTTGAGGCTAACCTGGGGATACATGGTACTGTCTAAAAATGAAAGAATGGAGAGAGAGAGGAAGAGAGGGAGGGGGAGAGAGAGAGAGGCAGGGAGGGAGAGAGGGAGAGGGAGGGAGGGAGGGAGAATTTGAAGAGATACTTTAGCAGTTAAAAGTGTTTCCTGTACTTCCAGAAGACCCAAGTTTAGTTCCCAGCATGCACGTTGCCAGCTCACAACTGTGTGTAATTCCAGCTCCAGGGAGTCTGACACTCTTGTGACCTCTGTGGATGGACGCACACATACACACGCACATGCAGGGGTGTGTTCGCCTGATCTATAGAGCGAGTTCCAGGACAGGCTCCAAAGCTACAGAGAAACCCCGTCAAGATAAAATAAAATAAATTAAAAAAAAAAAAAAGAAGAAGAAGAAGAAGAAAGAAAGGGAGGGAGAGAGAGAGCTCACTTCATGGGGATGCAGTTCACTGGATAGACAGACAAAGCGCACGCCTAGCAAGGTTGAGGGCTGGAGATCAGACCCCCCAGAACTCCTGTAAAAGCCAGAGGCAGGAACGTGTGTCGGTAACCCCGGCTGTCCTACGCTGAAATGGAGAGGGTGACGCGCCTTGAAGCTCACAGTCAGCTACTCCGTGTCCACAGCTCCACGGCTATACGCAAGGGACCCTGCATCCAACAAGGTGAAGGGCGAGAAGCAAACCTCACATTGCCCTCTGGCCTCTGCACATGCGCTACAGCACTCAAAAAAATAAGTAGGAAAGGAGTGGGCGGGGCTGGATCGGGCGACAAGAGAGACGGTTGAGGGAAAATGTACAATTAAATATGTAAGACTGTTTTCGGTGCCCACGGGACCTTTCCCCACAGATCCCCAAATCTGCCATTCCTCCAGGCCCTTGTATGAAATATACAATGTTTGCATAGGACCTCTGTGTATCCACCCTAGAAACAGATGTCAGAGCCCCTAGATCTGCAATTATTATTATTGTTATTATTATTATTTTGTTTTTTCAAGTCAGGGGGTTCTCTGTATAGCCCTGGCTATCCTGGAATTAGCTCTGTAAACCAGACTGGCCTCGAACTCACAGAGATGTGCCTGTCTATGCCTCCTAGGTGCTGGGATCAAAGGTACCACCACCCTGCTAGATCTGGAATTATAATTAATTGTGCACCAGCAATGGCTCTTAATCACTGAGCCATCTCTCCAGCCCCTTCTTGAATACTTTAGCTTGCTTCTAGGCAATGCCACCCAGCACGAGGAAAATAAAATCTCTGTAACTATTGCAGCATTGTGTCCTTAAGGAAACACAAGGAAAATATCAGTACGTGTGGAGGTCAGAGGGCAAACTTCAGGACAGTTCTCTCCCTACACCTTGCAGATACTGGGAATTGAACTCACGTCATCAGGGTTAGCTTCAAGCACCTTTGCCAGCTCCATCATGCAGCTGGCTCTCCCTGATAATTTGTATATTTGATCATTGGAGTCTATGGACTGGAAAGCTGGGGTATGGATGGCTAACTGACTGAATACTGAGACCAGAAAAGAATAGAACAACGGATGTCAGAACCAGATGTGGCGGCACACACCCATGATCCCACCCTCAAGAGGTGGAGGCAGGAGGAGGTCATTCTGTTCTACACGGCAAGGTTGAAGCCAGCCAGGACCACACAGGACCCTGTCTCAACAACAGAGGTCAGCAAGACTGCTGAGCGGCTAAAGGTGCTTGCTGCCAAACCTACTGACGCAAGTTCAATTCCTAGGAGCTACAAGAGAACTGATCCCAAGTTGTCATCTGAATTCCACAATCATTCACTGGCACACACACACAAGCGCGTGCACGCTCACACACACACAACACACACACGCACGTATACACACGTGCACACACACAAGCACGTATACACACAAGCACGTACATGCGCACACACGCACACACACAAGCACGCGCTCACACACGTGCACACACAAGCACGCGCTCACACACGTGCACACACAAGCACGCGCACACACACACACCCGCACACACACACACACACTAAGTAAAAAGGGGGGGGTGGAACAATAAAACAAAGGACACAGTCAACTCCCCCCGCCCGCCCCCTCACCCTTGTTTCTCCGACCCACTATCAATGTATCCATCCCACGGGACTCATCCATACCACCCTGTTCGCCACACGCCCCCACTCCGTTCTGCCTGCCTCCCGCCAGCCCCGTCCTAGGGACCGGTCACTGACACCCACCTCTCTTGCTGACCCATCATCCTCTCGAGCTGTTGTCCTGCTCCATTCTCCAAGACAGTTTTTACCATGTCAGCCCTCAGCCCCTCCAGCCTCCCCTCCCGCCCCAGGCTCTAACCTGTGTGGAGTCGGCAGCACTGAGCAGCGTTTGGAGTCCTGGCTTTTATGCTTCCGAGGAGAACAAGGAGTTGAAGGAGAAGAGGTTAAGGAGAGAGAGACGAGGGTGGGCGGGGTAGTGAGGATGGAGGCACAGAGAAGACTCATCCACTTGAGTGTTTATTAGCTGGTCTGTGAGGTCAGACAAAGGTGCTTTGTGGCACAGGGCATTTCTCTGTCTCAGCTGTCCCCTGTCAGAGCCTTGAGACTCTCCGACTCTCCGGCACTGCCTCTTTATCTTCTCTCTGACTTGTTTTTCCTCCCACTGTGTGTGTGTGTGTGTGTGTGCGTGCGCGTGCGTGCGTGTGCATACACACGGACCATGCCATAGTGTGTATGTGTGTGCTCACAATACAACAACTTGTGAGTACTGGTTTCCTCCTTCAACCATGTGGGTCTCAGGGATGGAACTCAAGTTGTCGGGCTCGGACTAGTTTATAAATAGCTGTTAACCACACCCACTTTGACCTGTGATTCCTCGAGGTTGCTTGTTTATTCACATGTCTCCCCCCCCCCTTGAGTACATGTGTGTATCTGAGTGTGTGTGTGTGTGTTTCGGTGTCCGTGGTTTCCTTTCTCCACCTGACTCAGCACCTCACAGGGCTCAGGACATCTCCTATGGTTGAAAATGATTCTAAGGGCTGGAGAGAAGGCTCAGAGGTTAAGAGTACTGGCTGCTCTTCCAGAGGTCCTGAGTTCAAGTCCCACAACCACATGGTGGCTCACAACCATCTGTAATGAGATCTGGTGCCTTCTTCTGACCTACAGGCATGCATGCAGGAAGAACACTATGTACATAATAAATAAATCCTTAAAAAGGAAAATTATTTCAAAACAACTCCTGGAGCTTAGCCTGAAGGCTCACACTTGTAATCCCAGCACTTCAGGGGCTGAGGGCTGAGGATGATGAGTTCCTGGATTTTTAGTGAGACCCTGATCCAAACAACCACTAAACAAGCAAGGGAGATGGGTCATTGGTTAAGAGTACTTGGCTGCCGTCGTGAGGACCAGAATCTGGGTTCCAGCATCCACATAACAAGCCAGATACCTCCCTGTAACCCTAGTACCATTTTGGGGTGGAGGGGGTGTGCACAAAGAAAATAAGTAGATTCCCAGGACCTGCTGGCTTCCGACCTAACCAAGAAAATAGGAGCCCCAGATTCAGGGAGAGATGCTTGCTCGAAGGAATGTGTGGAGAATGGTGAAAAAGGGCACCCAACACCCTTGTGGGTGCATACAGGTACACGCATCCACACACACACACACAAACACATGCATACTGGTAAATACACTAAAGTCCCATCATTATTTAGTTATGGTAGGTACATGCCATGACATATATGTGGAGGTCAGAGGGCAACTTGTAGGAGTCAGTCCTACCATATGAGTGCTGGGTATTAAACCGAGGTCATCAACCTTGATGGCAAGCACCCTTTCCCACCGAACTTGCTAACTGATATATATAAATACATACATATATATATATATACATACATACATACATACATACATATTTTTCCTGGATCTCCGTAAACAGTTGTAGGATAAGCTACTAACGGAGGCCATTGTGACTGCTTAGTTCACTCCTTCTGCCCCCACCCCCACCCCCGAGACAGGGTTTCTTTGTGTAACAATCCTGGAACTCCCTCTGTAGTAGACCGGGCTGACCTCGAACTCACAGAGATCCTCCCAAGTGCGGGAATTAAAGGGGTGCGCCACCAATGCCTGGCTTCCTTCTGCTTTTGTATTCTGTCTCTCCATTTCTCTCCCTCTTTGCCCCAGGGAGCAGCTACTTCCAAGAGGAAGAACCTTAGGAGACAGTTAAACCCTGCCTTTGCCCCTTGTCCCCTGAGAAACAGTGGCAGAGTCCAGAGGGTCCTGGAGTTTCTCTTCCTCTCTGCTAGGAGGGAGGCCTCTTTCTTCCCCGTATCCCACTGACGAGGGACCGTTTCCGTCTCTATCTGTCCATGTTTTCACATCAGCCCCACACCAACGGGTGGGGACACAGCAAAGCTCTTGTCCTCAGGTTTCCTCTGTGTGACCTCAGATGTGGGGGAGGAAGAGGAGGACACTTAGGAAGGAGAAAATGACAAGCAAGTGTAAATGGCTTTTCTGGGAAAGGGAAGGGAGGTGGAGTGGAGGAGTGGAGATGTCCTCAGGACGGGGAGGGGTTGGGGGGGACGACGACAGAAGGACTATGGGATGGAAACCTAGAAGAGGGCAGAGAAGGGAGGTTCAGAGACCTCACCGTTAGCCATTCTCTCTTCCAGAAGATTTTATTATCAGTGTGTGTGTGTGTGAGAGAGAGAGAGGTGTTTGCAGGCAGAGAGAGGTGTATGCAGAGAGAGAGAGGGGGGGTGTTTGCAGGTAGAGAGAGGTGTATGCAGAGAGAGAGAGAGAGAGAGAGAGAGAGAGAGAGAGGTGTTTGCAGGCAGAGAGAGGTGTATGCAGAGAGAGAGATGTGTATGCAGGTGCCCACCAAAGGCCAGGAAAGTGCGTCAGATACCCCAGATACCCGGAGCTGGCGTTACAAGCAGTCAGGAGCCACGAGATCTGGGTGCTGGGAACTGAACTTGGGTCCTATGCAAAAGCAGCAGGCACTCTCAAGCTCTGAGCCATGTCTCCAGCCTCCTCATTTCCACATTTCTTCCCAGGGTTCTAGACTCCTCCTTCTCACCCTCTTCCCGTCTCCCAAAGCCTCTCTCTCCTAGGCCTGGGAGCGGCTGCATCTCTTTGTCACCAGAAGGGGGAGCCAAACTCAGGCAGGTCCAAACCATGTTTGGGCCAGAGCTGTGAAGTCACTTCTAAAAGAAGTTTCTACCCCCCTCCCTTGAAAGACCCCGCCCCACCCCTTACTACTTTTTGACCTCGGCGGGTATCCAAATGAAGCACACACATTTGAAGACTGAACGCTAACATCCACAAACGAGAGAAAATGTGCCACGTTGGCCTTTCTGGGACCGGGTCTGGGTTACTTCGTGCACAATGATTGTTTCTGGCTCCATCCAATTAATTGTGAATTTCAGAGTCTTGTTTTCCCCAACAGCTGAATAGCAGTCCATCGTGTAAAGGGGCATTTTCATTTCCCATTCATTGACTGATGGACATCTAGGCACCTTCTGGCTACTAGCAATGAACACGCATGGACAGGTGTCTCTAGAGTGTGGTAGTATAGTCGGTTGACTTTTTTTTTTTTTTTTTTGGTGTTTCGAGACAGGGTTTCACTGTAGCTTTGGAGCCTGTCCTGGAACTCACTCTGTAGACCAGGTTGGCCTTGAACTCAGAGACCCACCTTCGTCTGCCTCCCGAGTGCTGGGATGAAATGTATGCGCCACCAACACCCAGTTCCTTCTCTTTCTTCTCTCTCTCTCTGATTTCCTCCAAACTGATTTCCATGGTGGCTGCCCAGTTGATACTACCATTGCAATGAGTACATGCTCGCTTCCCCCACACTAACAGCAGAATTTGTCAACTTATTTGCTTGGTTTTCATTTTTTTGAGAGTTTCTCTGTGTAGCCACGACTATCCTGGAACTCACTCACTCTGTAGACCAGGCTTAGAACTCAGAGATCCACCTGCCTCTTCCTCCCAAGTGCTGGGATTAAAGATGTGTGTCACCAATGCCTGGCAATTTTTTTTTTTTTTTTAAATCACATTCACTATGATTGAGCTAAAATAATCTCAAAGTAGTTCTAACCTGCATTTCACTGATGATCAAGGATGCTGAACATTCTGTTGTTTTGGTCTTTTGACACAGGGTTTCTCTGTACCACCCTGGCTGTCCTGAAACTCAGAGATGCACCTGCCTCTGCCTCCCAAGAGCTGGGATCAAAGGCATGCGCCACCACACCAGGGCTCAGGTATCTGGTCTTGCATCGATCCATTTGGAGGTGAGTCTTGTGCAGGGTGATGGATATGGATCTATTCATTCACTACAGAGCCCTTACCCACTGGTTTGTCTTAGCCGAGCATGGGGCTTCCACCATGTATTTCCTGTTACTGCAGATGAGGATTCCCTCAGTCCGCGTGACACCCTAACCCCCCCCCCCCACAGCCTGCAGCTGGTTATGTGACTTCAGTCTGTCCCCCACACAGCAAAACTAACCTCTCAACACAGTGGTGCTGCGCAAGACACCGCGTGAGTGTGGACCCCAGCCTTCCGCACATAGTTTGGGCCGCTCCAACAAGACCCTGTCTCAAGCTGGGAGGTGGTGGCGCACGCCTTTAATCCCAGCACTGGGGAAGCAGAGGCAGGCAGATCTTTGTGCATTCCAGACCAGCCTGCTCTACAGAGCGAGTGCTAGGTCAGGCTCCAAAGCTACAGAGAAACCCTGTCTGGGGTGGGGGAGGCCTGTCCCAAAACAAAACGGTAACCAGGGTGAGCATTGAGGACCTCCGGCCGCACCCCCTCCTTGTACAACAGTTACATGGAGTTCTGGTAAGGAAGCAGACAGAACCCTTGCAGCTCGAAGCGGGGGTGCACGTCTTCCTGAGCCACACAGCCCCCTCCTCTCGTCTCCTTCCTGGATAAAGTCAGGTCTGGACTGCTGGTCTGTCTGTGTGTAGAACTGAGGACATGGGACAGTCTTCTTCCCAAGGCCAGGACGAAGTCTTCTTGGCAAAATTCACTGTCCCAGAGCTGCTGGCACTGGTCATCTAGGGGCCAACCAATGACACGGAGTCACCTGCCTTAATAACTTGGCAAGGGTGGTGGCAATATTTAAAGCACTAAGTCTTAAGAAGTTGGAACTTCCTGGTGTGGTGGCGCATGCCTTTAGTCCCAGCACTCGGGAGGCAGAGGCATGTGGGTCTCTCTGAATTCCAGGCCAGCCTGAGTTCCGGGACAGCCAGGGTTTACAGAGAAACACTGTCTCAAGACAAAAGAAAAATAGAAATTGGGTCTATTGCCCAGAGGGGCGCCACCTGCCTGAAGCGACACGGGCAGGGCAAACCAGAGTGTCTGATACCAGACCTCGAGTTTAGTCCTTGTTTCTGCGATGTGTGCCCACCCAAGAAGTCCCCTGTGCCTCAGACGCTTAACTCCCACAACACAGGAGAGTCTCAGACTCCTGTACACACTGAGTCAGTCACTTTATTACTCTCTCTGACGCTGGTGACCTGTCATCTGTGACAAGTTTCTCAGGCACCTCTGCCCACCTCATGCCTTGGAACTGTGGAGTGAACCGAATCCTGGTCTGGGCCTCCTCCCATCTTTGGCCCCGACTCTGTCCTGGGGTCCAAGGTTGCCTTCCGCTGGAGGCCGGGGGTGGGGGGGTTTACTCTGCTCCTTCCCTGAGCAACTGTCCCCGCATAAAGGGTGTCCCGGGGAAGGTCGCCCCTCCACGAAAAGAGGATGGGATGAGGGAGAGAGAAGGACCTTTTTAGGGGCAGGCGAAAGCTGAGAACTCCGGAACGGAGGAAGGAGGGGCACGGGGCCTGAAGGGGTAAGCAAAGCTGGGGTAGGGAAGAGCTGAGAGGTGTCAGGGAGGTGGGTGGGGTGCTAAGGGGGTGACGCCCTGCAGCAGGTGTTTGGAGCCAGGGCTACCCCAGGGCCCAGGGCGGGAAGGCACCACCCCCCTCGGGACCCGGCGCTGCAGTCCCCTGCGCCGCGGCAGCCCGGCCATGGATGCGTTGGTGGCGGAGCACGTGCTCCCGCCGCCCAAAGCCCTTGCCACACTCCCAGCAGGCGAAGGGCCTTGCGCCCGAGTGCGTCTTGCGGTGGCGCACCAGGTGCTCGCGCCAGTAGAAGGTCTTGCCGCACTCGCAGCAGGCGTGCGGTTTCTCGCGCGCCGGCAGGGGCCGCAGCGCGGGCCCCGGGCTGCCGGGGTGGGTGCCGCGGTGGCGCCGCAGGTGCTCCTTGCGCCGGAACGCCTTGCCGCACTCGGGGCACGCGTGCGGCTTCTCGCCCGAGTGGCTCTGCCGGTGGCGCAACAGGTGAGCCGGCTTCAGGGGCGACTTGCCGCACTCTGGGCACGATACGGTCCCAGGGGCCGCCAGGAAGGCAGGGAGGACGGGTACCAGAGGGGCTGGTGGGGGGCTGCCCGGCTCCTGCTTGTAGGGGCGCGTGGCCCCTGCGGTCCCCGCTGCAGGCGCCTCTGTCCCGGAGGCTCCGGTCCCTGCGGGGGTAAACGGAACACGGTCAGGATGAGCAGCGCAGCTGGGGACAGGGAGGTGGCCTGGAGGGCAGTTTTGCCGCCCCTGTGCCACCCAGCAAGGAGCCTGACACTGCCTGATGAGTACCAGGCCAATGGGTGGCTTGAATGGGGAAGGGGGAGTAGGGCAGAAGTGGGCGGGAGGGAGAAGCGCGCGCGGGGGCGGGGGGGAGCAACAGACACGTGGGTGAGGGTACACACTGATTTAGGAACAAAGGAGAAACCAGGTGGTGGCCAGAGAAGGGAAATTACCGAGGTACACACATGCGCACTGCGCAAGGCGGAGGGGGTCCGAATGGAACAAACCAAAGGGTAGGGGCGGGCAAGCGGGGCGAGGGATGAACGACATGATCAGGCTGTAGGTTTCCCATCATCTGCTCTGTGGAGCCCGAGGAATGCCCACGACCCTGGTTTTGCCGGGTTTACACCATGAACTCGGCGCCCTCTTCCGTCTGAAATGCCCACTGGTCTCCCGGTGCTGTTCCAGCCCCACCCTCCACCCCTAGCAGTTACATTCTATCTTCCGGGACACCTGGCTTCTGCCCGGCTGTCTAGAGGTACATGGAGTCACCTCGCCCTAACGGGATGGGACAGACTTCTCGCCTAGCTCGGAGGCCGGGCATATGGCACAGAACTGACACGGAGCCTGGGAGCCGCGGCGCATGCGGGAGACACCACTGGAGCCTGTCTGAAAGGGGATGGCGTGCGTACGACCTGAATGAAGCAGGCTGCCTGGGCCCAATCCTGGTTTAGCAGCACCCACCCTTGGGTGGGTCCCTTTGGAACCCTGGACCCAAACGCTCTACAGCCAGGTCTCACCGCGCACGCCGGCATGCCTGTAACCCCAGCACTGTGCTAACTCCAGACACCACATCTGTTTAGGGGGTGCTACGGGTTTTCCATACACCCGCACAGCAGCACCTGGCAGACAGTTAAGAGTCTGACCCCACCTTCTGTGGGCTCCCCAAAGGCAGGGGCACGTGTGGAGCTGCCCCGGGAGATGGCCAGGCCAGTCCCTGCCTTAGCCTGGGACACTGGGGCCCTTGCCGTTGGGGTTACCAAAAGGCGGTGGGAAAAGGGGCCAGCTGCTCACCTACGGGAATCGTCCCACTTTCTTCCTTTCCAACACTGACCCCCGAGCCTTCCGTCATATCCCGAGGGGCCCTCATTGCTGAGGACCGATCTGGGGAGGTCGCCGGGCCCTGAAACGAGACAGCAAAGGCCAAACTGAGGAATTCCGATGGGCTGTATTCACCCCCCTGCCCACACCTTACACACAGTTCTCAAATCCTATTGCCTGCTTTGTTTGTTTTTGAGAGTTATTCCTAGTATGCTAGGGTGGGGTGCATAAAGCATGCATGCATGCTGGGTCCAGTGGACAGTATGTGATCCTCTGGAGCTGACGTGACAGGAAGCTGTGACATTGGGAACCAGGAATCACAGAGATCCCCCTGCCTCTGCCTCTGCCTCCCGGGCGCTGGGATTAAAGGCGTGTGGCACCTCTGGCCATCTCTGATGCTTTTCAAAGGTTGAGTCTGGAGCTCTATCAATCAACGTGCCTTGGATGATTCTCTGCTTTACTAAGTCTTTCTACACACACACACACACACACACACACACACACACACACACACACACACTTTGTGCTAATTTTCCATGCCCCCAGCTGCCTCTGACCTGAGACAAACTGGTGTGACATTTCCTGTTGTGTTAAGCACTGGCACTGATTGGAGCTGCCTCTCCCCAGTCTCCTAGTCTCTGGGTGACTTGGGTGGGCAGACACCCTGCTCCCAGGGTCTCAAGCAGTCCCATGGCTGCCTGGGTACCGAGGCTGGATGACAACAGGCAATCATTCTATCTTATGGAGCAGGTCGGATCCTGTCTCAAGAGAAGCAACCGAGGAAAACACACCCTGGCTCTCTGCTGTGAAACTTCAAGGCAGGGCGGGTGTCCCTCACTACCCCAAAACAGGCCCTGGCCCCTACTAATGTCAGGAGCTGTTCCAACCAGGGACACACGAATAAACAGGACAAGCAAGGCTCCTTCCCACCTTAGTAGGGCTGAGTCTACACTGCAGTTCAGGCCAGACACCACTGAAGAGCGACAATCCAGCGTCACCTAGAAGGAGCCCCTGAGCATGCTTGTGAGGGAGAAGACTCACCCTAACTGTGGCTGGCCACTTCCCGGGTCCCTGACTGAATCTAAGAGAGTGCTGTGAGCCGGGTGGGGTGGCGCCCGCCCCTTGATCCCAGCACTCAGGAGGCAGAGGCAGGTGGATCTCTTGAGTCTGAGGTCAGCTTGGTTCACAGAGGAGTTCCAGGACAGGCTTGGCTGCTACAAGAGAGGTGGGCAGTAGTGTTCATTGCTACTTCCTCCCAGGTCACCTGTGAGTGAGCCAGCCGCCTCTAGCTCTGAATGCCATGACTTCTCCTCAGAGACAGACTGTACCCTTGAACTGTGAGCCCCAAAATACTTCCTCCCTTAAGTTGCTTTTGGCATTTATCACACCAATGAGACAGACAGCCTTGGAAAGGGTTTTCCTATGTCACGGGTGCCCCTAGAGTCCAAGGAGCTGGAAAGAGTCATTAGAACAATGACTTCCACACCCCAGATAACGAGGACCCTACCATCTAGTCAGTAAAAGGGATTTTTGTTGCTGTCCATTTGCAGACATGGCCTTCCTCTGTAGTCCAGGCTGGCCTCAAGTTCAAAATGCTCCTAACTTAATCCCCAGTAATGAGATTACAGGCGTGTATCACCACACGTGTCTTTGAAGGATTTTTAAAAATTCTGCTAGATATACACACATTAAAAGCAACCACCTTACCATCGTCAGTTAAAAGAAACACAGAGGGTGGGCCATTGAGAAGGCTTAGCATGTGAAGGTGCGTGTTGACAAGCCTCATGTTGGAAGGGAAGAACTAACTCTACAGTTGCCCTCTGACCTCCACACATGCAAGGTGCTGTGTGCATGACCCACCCACCACCACACAAATACATGTGTTTGTCATTTAAAGATTTTTTTTAATGGCCCCAGAGAAGGCTGGCTGTTGTTCTGGTTTCTGAGAAGTCATATGTGACCCTTCAAATGTCACACCTAGGAAAAGGTTTCTGTGCAGGCCACAGACCAGACAGAATTAATTAAAGAACGCATGCGTGATCTGGGGTGGGGGTTTGGACCATGCACGATTAGCCTAGCTCTGCAGGGGCTGGTGACAGATCAGTCACGTGCCAAGCCACCATGTTGCCAAGCTTGAAGCCTAGTAAAAACTCTGGACAGCAAGGTATGAGGCATTCTAAGTGAAGGAATCCCTTGGAGTTTTTGTTTTTTTAAAGAGAGAGGGTCTGGCTACAGACTGCTCTCCTCCGTGACCTTCCTGCCTCGGCCCCTTTTACGTGTATGAACTACCATACCAGGCTGAGGGCTCCAAGCCCATTGCTTCCCACTATAGCTAAGAGTCGTTGGCCCTGTCCCCCTGCCATCTGGCTTGGAATCCTCTGGCCTCACCCTACCGCACGCACCCCTCCCCACCATCCGCGCTGCCTTCCCTCAACTATTACTTGAGGGAGGAACTGGGGACCCCAGATATGCAGATGATGCTGGAGAAGTACCCTTGCACTTTTGCAAGAGCGACCGTCACCCCAGCCCCAGCCATAGAGCACACCTTCCTTTTCGGCGTGCTTTTGACTGAAGGTGATGTGCAGCCAGCCACGTACTGAGAATCATAACCCAGTGAAGCCCCTCCCACATCCACATCCACGGCCACGGCCAGCGCGGCCTCCCGCTCACCCAGAGCTCCTCCAGCAGCGCCACGGCCTCCTCTCCGCTCTGAGGCCGGCGGCTGCACACCCAGGCCTGGGTGTCTGCGGGGAGGGCACTCAGGAACTGCTCCAGCACCAGCAGCTCCAGCATCTGCTCCTTCGTGTGCACTTCGGGCTGCAGCCAGTCCCGGCACAGGGCGCGGAGCAGCCCCAGGGCCTCGCGTGGCCCTGCCGCGTCACCCAGGTGGAAGTGGCGGAAGCGGTGCCACGGCGAGTCGAGCGTCAGGGCCTCCACCGACAGGCTCTCCTGCTTCACCGGCTGCGATGCTGCGGCCTCCATGGGGCCCCCTGGGTTCGAGTCCCCGGTGGTATCTGCAGAGAGGGACAGTCAGCAGTGGGAGGACGCAGCTCGGCAGTCTGGACTACGGCCTCTCACGTGGGCGACAGGGCTGGCCTGAAGCCTAATGGCTACTGACCAGTACCTGCTCATCCACTTCGGCTTTGATTTCATAGACTGTAAAACGGAAGCCTGCCTGCTCGCCTCTGACCAAAGAGAAGACAGGCCAACCCGGCGTCTTTGCCGCCGAATGAAGCTTCCGGTTCTAGGAATGGGACACCTCTAATCGGAGTTGTTGACTAAAGGGGCCCCAGGGGAGCCAGCCCCGGAGAACCCAGGCCACCTATCCACAGACTGCTAGCGAGGCCCCGCTGCTTCAGGCTAACACCTACACAACTCACCGTACAGGGACAGGTGACCGAGCTGGTGCCTGCTGCCTCTTAAGGCCTATTTCGTGAGCCAGGACCGATCCCTGACACCGCTCATCGGGTGGCAAGAACGAGACCACAGAGGTGAGGGACCTGGGGGGCAAAGCAGACACGACTGTGCTGTAAGAGGAACACAGCAATAAAGTGTCTCCTAATGGCATTCTGCTCAGCCACCATCAGAGAAGCTTCCTCCTTACAGGAGATGGAAACGGACACAGAGGCCCACGACTGGACAATGCACAGAGCGAGGGAGCTTGCAGTGTTCAGTTACACTCCATCAAGACTGTAAGAGCCACCAAGGAAGCAGTGCCTTCCAGACAGCAGAACTGGCACACGCATGAACTCCAGGGACCGTGGTAGCCTGCACTGGGACTGCACGGGTCTGTGCCAGGCGGGGTCCCAGAGCTGAAAGAAATGGACACACATGCCTTCACCCCTAACCCTGAACCTGTCTTCAACTGATAACCACTTGCAAATTTAAAAAAAAAAAAATCAGTCTTCTTACAAACCACTCTTTTTGTTGGTTTGAGATGGGGTCCCTCTGTTTAGTCCTGGAACTCGTTCTTTATTGCAGGCTGGCATCGAACTCTGAACTCAGAGATCCGCCTGCCTCTGCCTCTGCCTCCCCAGTGCTGGGATTAAAGGCGTGCGCCATCATCACCACCACCACCACCGGGCCGGTATGTAGTTTCTGAGTGCTCAGCTCTAAGCGGGACACGTGTATTACTCCCTCCAAGGCTCAGGGTACAGGGAATAAGAGAGGGAAAAATAATGTGGGAGCCAGAGAAAGGGGTGGGGTGCTGGGGGGGGGCACGTGCCAGCTTGCACTCCGGAAACCCCCCCCCTGCGTTGTGATTACTTGCAAGTCTTGGCCCATCGACGGGAGGGGCTCACAATGTCTACCCTCCCTGCGGATCCATGGGCAGTTACCGGCCACCCGCAGACATTTCCTTCCGTGGTGCAGCCACTCCTACACTGCCTAGGCTCCCGTAAACGGCCCCTCACCCATGCTCAGGTAAGTGAAGCTCGGGAAGGCAATACACAAAAGAAGGGAGACAATGTGAGAAGCGGAAGGGGCCAGCGGGAGCCGGAGGACAAGGGAGGGTTATGGAACTCACGTGGACTATGAGAAAATACATTATATGAGATCCATTACTGACACAGTTAATATACGCTAATAAAAACCTTTTTTTTTTTTTTTTAAATGGAGGGGAGCCTCAGAGATGCTTAGCAGTTAGCAGTGCCTACTGCTCTTCCACAGGATCAGTTCCCAGCACCCAGACTGGGTGGCTCACAACTGCCTCTAACTCCAGTTCCAGGGGATCTGACTCCGTTCTGGCTTCTTTGAGCACCTAAACACGTGTAGCACATACCCAGACAAGTACATAAACGTTAAGTTTAAAAACCCTTTAAAAGTCTTTAAAGAGAGGTTGGAGAGATGGCTCAGTGGTTAAGAACACTGGCTGGCCAGGTGGTGGTGCCTCACGCCTTTGATCCCAGCACTCAGGAGGCAGAGGCAGGGGGATCTCTAAAAGTTCTAGGCCAGCCTGCTTGGTCTACTAAGTTACAGGAAAGGCTCCAGCAACCACGTGGTGGCTCACAACCATCTAAATGAGATCTGGTGCCCTCCTCTGGCCTTCAGGCAGACATGCAGGTGGGACACTGTATATTTAGAGAGTAAATAAGTAAATCTTTAAAAGGCTTTACAGAGAACACAGGAAGGACTCAGGATGGTAGCAAATGCTCAGATGTAGGCTACTATCTTTCTGCCTTAACACTTACTACCTGATTACTGCAGGCTTCTACCCAGTTTCTGATTTATTTATTTAGAGTCTCACATGGCCCGGGCTGGCCTCTCTCTCACTGTGTAGCCTAGGATAACCTTGAACTTCTGACCTTCCTCCTTCCGCCTCCCTGGCGCTAAGATGGCGGGTGTGCACCACCATGCAGCTCTTCTCTTCTTTAACAGGGCACTAACCCCCAAGAGCAAGGTTCTACTCCCTGACTCCATATCTTCCCCCTGTGGCCACTTTGGGGGCTAGGGTTATAGTCAGGGGCTTCTTGTTGAGTCAAAGCAAAGAGCCTCCTTGCGGATTTAGCACTCTAGCTGGCACCAAGAGCTTGCTAACTCACACACAGGAAGACACTCCACACCACACAACTCCAAACCGTCGTCTTCATCATAGCTTGTGGTCAGGGTGCTGGAAGTTAGCTTTCTGTCTGCCTACTCTGTGCTGTGCACAATTCCCCAACCGTCTGCCCCGGGCTTACGTTCTGTCTTGCTACCTCTACATGGCCGCTACACAGGATTCCTGTCCACCAAGAGGCCACATCCTACAGCCAGTAATGGAAACCTAGCCAACTCCTTGGGGCTGGTGAGGTCATGGATCTTAGCGGGACACCTACTACCTACACTTTTCCAGACCAGCGTAATTCCTAACTGCATCCTAAGACTTACTCTCAGATCTACAGATACAAGCGTAGCTGTCACCTGTTACCAAAGCAACTTCCATTTACAGCAAACAGAGACCAGTACCGAAAAGCACAACTGTCAACAGCAAAGGGATCAATGGACTGTAGGGGCTGTCCCAAAGGATACAGCTACAACACAACTCTTGTCCCTGAGGCCCAGGGACGCTGCAGGAGGAGGGATGGGAAGATAGTAAGAGCCAGAGGCCCACGAAGTCTGCTGTAAGCAGGTTTCGTCTCCTAGAAATGACAGACAGCCTACAGCCATGACACCTCCATGATAACAGCTGTCACTGGCTGCACCAGTGACAAAAATCAATACGGGTGCTGCTAGCGCAGAAGGTGGAAATCCCACAGAATCCCACCCCTAGACAAACAACTACAGGCAACTGAGGACAACCGAGACAGGAAGAATTAGCATCTCTCAGGGGTGAGTCTCCTAACTGGTTCTATGAATTCACAGACACACAGGCAATGCTAAATGAACCGAGCACGCTGTGTTTATATAGCCATGCACTGAATGTGTGTATATACATATACACACTAAGAAAAAGAGCCCATCAATTTGGGAGTGTGCAGGAATACGCAAGGTGTTGGGGGAAAGATGTAGTTACATTTTAATTTTTAATAAATAAAGAGTGGCTGGGAACTGGATTAATTAAATACAGCTGAGAGGATGGACTAAGGGCACACTGTAAAGAGGTAAAGGAAAAAACAAAAAACGAAAACACTACTCCACATTACTGCGGAAATACTCCAAAAGGCAGAGACCGAGTACCCAACACTGTAAAGCGACTCCTATAAGGAATAAGAACCTGTGTGCCAGGGGCCAGTGAGATGGCTCAGTGGGTAAAGGTGCTTCCGCCCACATCTAAGGACCTGAGTTTGAGCCCCAGACCCTAAGGTAACAGGAAAGGACAGACTCCTCCAAGTTGTCCTCTGGCAACCTATATGTATGCCATGGTTTGTCCAGGGCTGTTCCTCCTCACCCCACAGAAACACACAAAATAAATGAAATTTAAAAAAAGAGAGCAAGCCCTTTTCAGCACGCTTAAAACAAACAGCAACTGGAGTTACAAACGGGTGATGGGGTTTCAACCATGGTCATCAGGGCTGGAGAGGTGGCTCAGTGGCACCAGCTGCTCTTGCAGAGGACCCAGGTTCAATTCTCAGCACCCACGTGGCAGCTCACAAGTGTCTAGAACTCCTGCCCCAGGGTTTCTCACAGCGATGCACATAAAAATAAGTGTGTGTGTGTGTAAAGGTCATCTACAAGAGCAGTAAGTGCTCTTTACCACTGAACCATGTAGCCAGCCCCTCAGCCTGTTTAAAGGTGAATTAGACTGCACTGTTCTGAAAGTAAAACTTGCCATAAACTACACATCAATTTCCCAAAATCGTGGCCGTGCTTACATAATGATGTCCTTGCTTATGTGATGGGAAGGGGAAACAAACAACCAACCCTGGTTGAACACCACCGTGCTACGGGCAGGAAGAATGGAAAAAGGCGGTCCTGTGCAGCCCTTTTCCTCCTAGGAACCCTGGAAGACACACCTATCAATACATCAGTTTCCTGACAAATGGCCCGAGCAGTCAGTGTCCCCCTTATAAGAGCCCACTGTAGGCTGGGCGGTGGTGGCGCACGCCTTTAATCTTCTTACTCGGAAGCAGAGGCAGGTGGATCTCTGTGAGCTGGAGGTCTGTTACACAGAGAAACCCTCTCTCAAAACACCGAAACAAGCGAAACAAAAAGCCCACTGCAGATGCCCCTCACGCCTGGATCAAGTGAAAGGGGACTTCCTTGAGGCGAGATCCAATTCCTGCCGTAAAGGGAAAAATCCAGTTTTATGACCTGAAGTAGCTAGCTTAAAGCCTGATGGAGAAAGAAGACATATCTGAATCAATGAGCTAAGAAAATATAACAGTCCACTTAAGTGGGATATGTACTTCATATCCCCCAGAACCTTAGACGTAGCCTGCACACCCTCACAGCTGGGCCTTGTGGGTGGGGTGGGGTGGGGGGAATGTGTGCAGAAAATTCAAAAGGAGGCCTATGTCAAAGGCTGAGACGGAAAACCTCCAAGCTGCCTGGAGCTCAAGTTCAGGCACTGGCCTTCAGGGGCCAGATCAAAAATAAACTCAAGTGGGTGATAAAGATCACAGACT